AAACCTTAAATCCTAGGCCCTAAACCCTAAATCCTAAACCCTAAAGCCTTCACCCCAAAGCAGGACCTGTGCCTCAGCCCTTCGGATTTCGGACCGTGCATGAAGACCCCGGTGAAACTCAGAACCGCAAGCCGATTTTGTAAGTGGTTTAGGGTTTAGGGTTTAGGGTTTAGGGTTTAGGTTGAGTTTAGGGTTTGGGGGTTTAGGATTTAGAGTTTAGGGCCTAGGATTTGGGGTTTAGGATTTAGGGTTTAGGGTTTAGGTTGAGTTCAGGGTGTAGGGGTTTGGGGTTTAGTGCTTAGGGTTTGGGGGAAGTTTAGGGGTTCGGGGTTTAAGGGTTTCGGGGACAACCACAACCCAGGCCTCGTGGACAAGCTTCGGGTCTTACCCCGTACGGCTCACAGGCCATAACACGAGCAGCAACAGGAAAGATGCCAACAACAAAGTAAGCACCTCATAGTCTCATATAGTAACCCTAAACCCTAAACTCTGAACCGTTTATCGGGTTCAGGGTTCAGGATGCAGAGCATGATCTGAAGCCACTGCTGTGGGCTATCCGTCCGGTCGAGATCTGACGAGGGTATCAGTCACGCAGCAGAACACTCGCACAGAACCAATACGCAAAGTTAGCACCCCCAAGACCTGAACAAGATCCATTTTCAGTTACATCTACATCACTGCAGCTACTATTTCACAGACGTTTTGCGACTACAGTTTAGGGTTCCGGTGTTGCTTTAGGTGTATACGTACTCCGAGTCTTACAGTATGAGCGGTGAGGCCCTTCAAACTTTTAAGCCCCAATTCCGTCGCCGTGAACCGACATGTCGATGATTGTGGAGGTTGGGCTGCTCAGTGGCAAGACCGCTGCCGTGGAAGCTAGCTTCGACGAGGATGTTGAAGCGTTCAAAGAACGGGCACAGACCGCACTCGGAGTCGGAAATGGGCGGCTGGTGGACTCGTTTGGGAGCGTTCTGGATGCATCTGCTCCAATCAAAGATTCCATATTTCAGAACGGTCACTCGCTGACGCTGCAATTAAGCCCGACTCGGGTATGCGGTGCTGCCCGGGCTTTCGCTGCCATATTTGGCGACGGATCTGTCGCGACCTGGGGTGACGCTGACTGTGGTGGTGGCAGAAGTGATGTGCGGGATCAGCTGAAGAATGTGCAGCAGATCCAAGCCTCTGACTACGCTTTGGCTGCGGTTCTTGGTGATGGATGCGTCGTGACGTGGGGTAGCCTCAGTTGCCGTGTGCAGGACCAGTTGAAGAGTGTGCAGCAGATACAAGCCTCTTACGGAGCTTTTGCTGCCATTCTTGGTGATGGATCCGTCGTGACCTGGGGTGATGCTGATTATGGTGGTGACAGTAGTGCTGTGCAGGACCAGCTGAAGAATGTGCAGCAGATTCAAGCCTCTAGCTCCGCTTTCGCTGCGATTCTTGTTCATGGCTCTGTCGTGACCTGGGGTAATGCAGGCAGTGGTGGTGACTGTACAGCTGTGCAGGATCAGTTGAGGAATGTGCAGAACATCCAAGTTTCCAGCGGCGCCTTTGCGGCAGTCCTTGGCGATGAATCGGTCGTGACCTGGGGGAGTGCAGACAGTGGTGGTGACAGTACAGCTGTGCAGGACCAGTTGAGGAATGTGCAGAATATCCAAGCCGCCAGCAACGCTTTTGCTGCCATTCTTGGTGATGGCTCGGTCGTTACCTGGGGATATCCAGCAGACGGCGGTGACAGCAGTGCCGTACAGGATCAGCTTAAGAATGTGCAGCAGATCCAAGCCACTGGCTACGCTTTTGCTGCCATTGTTGCCGATGAATCCGTCGTGACCTGGGGTCATGCTGATTATATGCGATTATGGTGGTGACAGTAGTGCCGTGCAGGACCAGCTGAAGAATGTGCAGCAGATCCAAGCCTCGAAATCCGCTTTTGCAGCTATTCTCGCTAACGGATTGGTCGTGACTTGGGGTAGCACCGACGGTGGTGGTGACAGTAGTGCTGTGCAGGACCAGCTGAAGAATGTGTATCAGATTCAAGCCTTTTACGGAGCTTTTGCTGCCATTCTTGGTGATGGATCGGTTGTGATCTGGGGGCATGCAGACTATGGCGGTGACAGTACTGCTTTGCGGGGTCAGCCGGGTCAGCTGAAGAATGTGCAGCACATCCAAGCTTCCAGAGCTGCTTTTGCGGCTGTTCTTGGCGATGGATCGGTCGTCACCTGGGGCAGTTCTTGCTCACGGTGGCAACAGTAACAACATCAGCACTGCACATGGTTAGCTGCAAAACGTGTAGCAAATCAGCCTGTGCTTTTGAGTGTTAGATCTTGCAGATGGCACGAGGATGGTGTTTACATCACAGTTCTGCATACATGTCCAGCTTCTTTTTCATCTCTGCAGAGTACGGCGCTATGGTGAAACGCCCTTCCGCCTATGTTTTGCGATTCCTTGGGCATCGCACCTTGCAGGCTCCGGAACTCTCTGTGCGGATCCTCCAAAGTGTGATTTCCAGTGCCTGTGCAAAGGATTAGGGCTGAACCTACCCCTGTTCTAATGCGGACATGTTGCGACTCAGGGTTTAGTCGTTGCAAAAGTCGGTTTACCAGGGCGCAGGGTCCAGACAACACAGGAATGCGCGTAGACAGCTTTGCAATGCTTTGTCCTCCCGCAGATCCCGAAGGGTGAATGTACCCAAACAGTATAGACTCTGGCCTTACAGCGGTTCCTGTATGGGTAGTTTGAGGCGAAGGTATATATTCTATTTATATTTGGGTACACGGACCCTTAGGGCCTTAGGGGAGAATTTGATGTTGTCAAAGTCCTGAGCCCCAATGCCAAAGAACCGCGCTTTGTGGGTCCACTGCTCTTCCGTGCTGAGGACTCGGAGAGGATCGGCAAATTTCTTGGGTCCTGTACATCCCTAAACCTTAGTGCCTGGGTATAGAGGTCTGAATATCTAGCATTTGTAACAACATTGTAGTAATCTGCACTTATAGTCTTATAGTCCTATACGTACAGTATACTGGGATATTCACCCTCAAAAGTTCATTCTAAGTATTAGGGCCCCCCATGTTAAGCGTTCCTGCGCACAACCAGTGGTATGAATCGTGTTCTTTTGCGAGACCCTGATTTCAGGTTCAAGGATTTTGTTCATGTGGCGGTCTGAAGAGATTGTAACATTTTTCCCGAAGGTCCGTATGGAATTTTGCTACGATCTACCTCAATTTCCTATTCCTAACAGGTATATGGCTTATGGATTCCTGTAGTCGATGTGTGTTTTAGTAGCTGAGTAGGTAGCCTTTAGCCTTTTTTCGTTATAGGTTAACCTAAGTTAACCTTTTTGGGGGTTTATATAGTCCTACCATAATTTTAAAGGTTAGCCTTTCATGGGCTAGGGTACTCAGCCCCTACGATGCAGTGGCCAGGTCATTAGCGAGCTCTTTGCCATCCTGGTCAGCGCCGCTTTGTCTCCCAAGTCGGGTTGCAGGGGGTTGGGGGGGGGGGGCGGGGGAGGGGGCGCGGGGTGGTGGTTAACGGGTTCCTAAACACGAAACCCTGAGCCCCAAAACCTAAAGTTTTGTTTCAGGGATGTTCTGACGTATTTTTATTGTCCCTGAAGGTCCTAAACCTAGACCGTGTGTTGTCTTCGGGGCTTGTTTCGGGTTTCAGGGTTTGTAATCTGGGCTTGGCGATACGCTCCTGAACTATTTATTTTGGGGTTTCTTACTATAATCAGAGTATAATGGGCCCCCAAAGCCCTATTCTAATCATGAAGGCTCTCATATTACCTGACACCCTCAGGGCAAGGTTTAGGGTCTAGGGTTCAGGGCAGTTTAGGGTCTGGGGTTTAGGGGTTAAGGCCTGAGCCCGGAACTGGAGATCGGTGCAGACAAGCCCAGTTTCAAAGATGCTGTTGGGTTTGCTGGGTTTAGGGCTCTGGGCTTCACAGGCCTAGAGCGACGAATGTACCACGAAAAGAATATATGATCCGAACACTGGGTACCTTTCCCTACTTCAGGATACCATGGCTACTCTAGATAATGTTTCGTGTGTAAGTTTCAGGTTTTGTGGGTTTCAGACTTTGGTCAACCCAGCTTATCGGATCCTTAAGGGAGGGTGGCTCAAGGGGGGAGGGTCCTAGGGAGCCTTAGGGAACCTAAGGGAGTACTAGGGAGAATTGGGGATTACTGGGTTATTTACCCGCCGTTGAATCTTGGAATCCCCTCCCTTAAGGATTCCATAAGGTTGAATCCCGAACCCTATCGAACCAATGTCCTACACGCTAAAGCCGGTAAGCCCGAATCCTTAAAACCGTAAGTCCCAAACCCTTGAACCTTTCTAGAATTCGACAAAGATCCTTGTAGGTTACCGAGAAATGCATCTATTTGTACGCAGGAATCCCTCGGATACAACGTCGTGCTCAACGAGGGCAGCAATGGTCGGACACAGGTGACTTGACGGTCAAATCCAAAAGTCTAAGTCCTGCAGCTTAGGAGGTTAATATAGGGGCCTTAATAATTTCAAGAGGGTTTTGGGGCCCATTGTGGAAAAAATATTATAAGGAACCCCCAAAATAGTATTGGTAATTATTTAGGCCCCTACATTAAGCTACGCCGAGATTAAAGTTAAGGGCTTAGGGGAAATCCTAATCCTGAACCCCACGGTTGCTGCTGGATTGTGGGTCTAGGTTTTGTTTTGAATGGGTTTTCTTTTAGCGCTAAGTGCATTGCAGTCTCCTGCTCAGCAAAAGGTGTTAAGGCAGTGGGGTTAAGGAGTATATGGCTCGGGGTTTATTCAAGCCAGGCGCTGCATGGCCCCTGCCCTGCGGGTTTTCTGGATGTTTTGGCTGGTTTTGTTTGTATACGTCTACGATTAAAGCCATTTTGTGACCCCCAGAAAGTTGGAACATGGCTTTAGGATGATTATAGTGCTAGGAATCCCATTGTTTTACGGTAAGGGCGCGAGGAGAATGATGTTCCAACTTTCCAGCTTCTACTTTAGTAGATCCAGGAAAAGAGCTTTAAGCCGGCGGGCCTAGCTAAGGCCCAAAGCCCAACACAGAAGCCTCTAACTCTATAAGCAGTATGACTGTTCTTCAGGGTTCCTTGCAGTGATTACGGTACAGAAGCACCGGAATTCGAAACACACCTACAATCCCGCCAGGCCTCAAGCCCTAAACCCTAAACCCTAAACCCTATGAGTACTTCGGAGTTAGGCTTCGTGGCTCTTGGGAGTTCAGGATGCATCGAGTTTTTGTTGAGCCCCAAACCTCAATGTAGGGGCCTAACTAGTTACCAACACTATTCTGGGGACTCCTGATTATAATTGTAGCATAATGGGCCCCAAAACCCTAGTCTAATTATTAAGGCCCCTATGTTACACCTGTCACCCTCAGCCCTGCACCCTTATGTCCCCACCCTGGAACCCTCGATTAGAACCCGCAAAGAACCGTCTACCCCAGAGGGTTTAGGGTTTAGGGCCAGGACCTTTAGGCGTAAGGTTTCAGGGCTGACTTCCTGGATTGAGGGCGCGGTCGGGTGTTCAAGACAAGAGGATCTTCTAAAAAATCGGGCATAGGGCCGGGTGAGTATGCAGGGATCTACAACCCTAAGGGTCCATGTACCCAAATAGTATATACATTGGCCCTAAAGTACCTATATAGGGACTACATTAAGGCCAAAGTATATACTATTTGGGTACATGGACCCTTAGGGTATTGTAATTATAGTATAATATACCCCCCCCCAAACCCTATTCTGATTATGAAGGCCCCTATATAAGGGTCCTACTATTTAGGGTACTATATTAGGGTCCCCTATTTTCGGAACCCCCAAACCCTAAACCCTAAACCCTAAACCCTAATCTGATGTTTCATGGCGTCTCCGGAGCTGGTCCGGGGTTAGAGAGTGTTTTTTTCACGCTCACATGCTTAGGGGGATCGGGTTTAGGGTTTAGGGTTTAGGGTTTAGGGTTTAGGGTTTAGGGTTTAGGGTTTAGGGGTTTAGGGGTTTAGGGTTTAGGGTTTAGGGTTTAGGGTTTGATGTAGGAACCTGATTAAGAAACCTTGGGTTTTTATTAGGGTGAGCTATATATGAACCCTAATATTTTGGGGTTATAGGGGGAGGGTTTCTTAATCAGGTTCCAACATTAAACGACAAGCCAATAAAAACTTCAAAGCCTTTCCTAAAGCTTGCATTTCTAAACCTCAGGCCGTACTATGAGTACTATGATTGTCAACTTTTTGCAATGCCCGCTAGCCTGTCGCAGAACTTGTCGAGGCTTCAGGACATGGGGGACCACTACAACGAACCCGAAACAATGGATCCTTACCAAAAGGACCCTTATATAAGTAAGGTACCGTTCTCTTCCGGAAACCACCACGTGAGCCACCTGAGGTGTATCGCCTAGCCGGATGCGACGGTGCCATGTCTCTGCCGGCATTTGTTTTAGGGTTTATAGGGCCAAGGCTTTAGGGTTTAGGGTTTCCAAGGCTTTAGGTAATGTTGTGGAAGCCATTCCCCAAAAAAAAACTTGTCGCAAGCCTTGCGTCACGCTTCTGTAAGCCGCAAGGATGTTAGCTTAACTTCGGCTTCAAGGTTTCGGGCCGGATTTCCTAGCTATCTCACGGACTTGCGGCACTTACGGGCTATGACTCTACCCCCCAAACCCGTGAACCCTAAACTCCTAAACGGCCCTAAACCCCTAAACCTGAAGCCCTGATCCTCAGATCCTTGTAATTAGGGTCAGGGCTGTGCTCCATTTTATACTGAGCTTTATGCACCCATGAACCCTAAACCCCTGCAGTACGCTTATGCCACCCGTAAAATCCTGTACCCCCTTTAGGGTTGGGAGGAGTTTGTGTGAGGTTGACGCTTGTTGTACCAGTTTCATGGTGGGTATACGCTTCATTAGGCGGTTCAGTTGCTGAGTATACACAACTGCTGGCCCAAACTCTAAACTAAATCCTTTGCCCTAAACCCGCTGGCTTGTTCGATACGGTTTTTGTGGGTTGGAGATGCGTGGCTTCAGCGTTCAAGGAGCAAATCAGGCCGCATATCAAAAGCTTCTTCAGGCTAAGCGGTTTGAGCCGTTTGAGGGGGGCCTGGAAGAAGGAAATCATTTATAGGATCTAAACGATTGCGCATCACTGTGGTAGACTTCATTGCATGGTTGGAAGAAAAGGCAGTCAACACGACGGATTTCTACAGTCTATGTCTATATGTGATCAGCTTTTAACAAGTCTATCCAAACAAGACAGTGCATTAGTGGCACTACTCCGGGAAGTAATCTTGTGATACTAGAAGAGAAACGATGCCCGCGATCAACAATCGATATATATATATACGCAAAAAGATAGAGACAGAGAGAGATGGGGTGCTCGTGATGCATAAACATACGTGGTACTCAGCCATATGCAACATGCCCATTTTCGTTTCGCATCTTTACACCCCAACCCAAATGCCTGAAGTTCTTTTGTCACGAAACCCAACGAATTCTTTGAAGTCGCCCGAAAACCCTAAACGCCAAAGCTGCGAAGGTGTTCCAGAAGACGGTTGCGACCCACCCCGAAAGTATGATCTTGGTCTGGAAAGCTGGCAACCTGGCCTTTGGAAAGGCTTCTGCCTGGTAATATAAAGGCTTTGAAGAACAAAAAAAATCTTCAGAACGCTTATATCGTCCCTATCTAGTTTTACTGTACTGCAATATACAAAACACAACCATGTTTGTGTGTTGTTGTTCCCTCGTGTGTAGGGTTTTGGGTTTAGGGCTTCTGGATGCTGTGGTGGAAGGGTTTGCGTAGTTGGTTTGCAAATATGGGGCGTTTTTTGTTCGGGCATTTTCGGATTTACATTCGGGTTCCTTGATAGTCCAAGGTGAAGACGGTACAAAGCTTAGTATACAGTATGCACCATCAAGTGGCTTTGGGTGTGGTTTGGGTTTTTGAGCTGCTTGAAGTGCCAATCGGCTGCAACGCGCCTGCTGAGCTTCTTGCATCCGAGCGATAGCGGCATTTCGGTATGTGAATTTGTGCTGGTGCCTTATGATGCGCAGCCTTTATCCGAAACCTGTAAACTTTAAACCTCTAACCCCCAAACCCCTAGACCCCAGAACCGTTAAACCTTCAGCAGCTACTGGAACCCTACACCCCCAAACTTCGGGTTAAGGGGTTTACTGCGCGATTTAAGGGAAACACTGTTGTCATGCACCTTGACCTACAAAACCTATGTTTCGTAGGGCATTGCAGGGTTCCTTTAGAGCCCATGGCCTGTCATAAGAGCAACTTGTTAAATGCTAGTTTGAGGTAGGGTTTAGGGGTTTGGGTCGAGTATTTAGGGTGTGCCCGGCATGTTTTAGCACCAAGTTATCCTCTAAATCCTAAACCCCCTGCGAGCCTACTGTGCCCATCTCCGAAATATACCCTAAACCCTAAACCCCCTAACCCTGCAATGCGGGCTCGTCCTGGCTGTGTGGGAGGCAAGAAAACCCTCCAAAGAAACCTAAAGGCTGAAACGCTAAGTCCTGAACCCTGAACCCTGCACCCTCAAAAGAAACCTAAACCCTAAACCCTGCACCCTCAAAAGAAACCTAAACCCTCAACCCTGAACCCTCAAAAGAAACCTAAACCCTAAACCCTGCACCCTCAAAAGAAACCTAAGGCCTCAGTCTGTCGATTTAGCGTTGAGGGCTTGTCAGTTTTATGGATTGAGGCTTTTGAGGCTGAAGATAGTAGCATCTACACGTTTGTGACCCTCGGTTTAGGGCTTCGGAGTTTTTTGGGGCTTGGGGTTTAGGGAAACCTTAAACGTTAAACCCTAAACCCTAAACCGTAGGTGGGTTTCGGATTTAATTTGCCCGGGGTCTCCCACTTCAGCTGCTCCTGGAAGGCTCAGGGCCCATGTACAACCCATACAGCATAGGGTTTAGGGTAAAGGGTTTTTTGGGGATTTTAGGGTTTAGGGTTAAGTTTAGGGATTTCGGGATACTCTGATTATCTTAAGTCTTAGGCCATCTACACAAGAACGCAGCTTAAGACCTATGAAAATATACTTTACATAGGTACATGTGCACTTTAGGGTCCTGCCCGTGCCCAAGAGCCCCACCTAAAGACGCAAAAGCTGTTTAGGGGTGTGGCCAAAAGATTTTCGGGTATTGTTGAAACCCTTCAGGATTTCGGGGTGTAGGTCCCTGCATCCTTAAACCTATAGGCCCTAAAGGAACCCAAACCGAACCTCTAAACCCGAATACCACCGAATCCCTAAACCCTCAAGGGTTTAGGGTTCAAGCCTTTTCAGGTTCGCGGCAACCGACTACGGTTCTGTGACGCTGAAAGAACTTGGTCCGACAGCGCCCACCATTATCAACATCCTCCCCTATGTGCCTGGACGTGTGAGGGTTTTGAAGTATAATATCCCACACCCGCCCCCTACAATCTGGAATGGCTGACAAAAGCGCCCCAAGTGTTCTTTTAGTAACCAGGGACGTATTATTAGTGAGTTCCGAGCATGGGTTTATCAGTGAGGGACGGGGGTTATACTGGAGTGGGTCGAGTTTTAAAATTGAGGCGGGGGTTACACATGTCAAGTCCATATTTTGTTCCAAGCATTTTAGCAGGATGTTATAGAGCTTGTCAGGGTTAAAGGGGTTTGGGTATAGGTGCAGACGAATCTTTTTTATTAAGCAGTTTCCTCCGCTTGAGTTCCATAAACCTAACAAATCATGACCTGCGAGAATAAAGGGATACAGTTGAAATTCCAGGGAGAGTCTCCGGGAGGCCTCTTATTCGGCGAGTACGTCAACCTAAACCCAGCACACATTCTCGAGGCGGTGAGTGAACCCAGACATTTGAGAATGAGCGTGCTGCACCTGAGTTTAGACAACTTGACTTGACACTAACATGTTTTCTCATGGTTCCATGTTCTAAGTCCACTAGAATGAAGCCCCAAACCCTGCAAACCTTAGTCTATTTATTAGGGCGCTGGAATTGAAGCCTCATAGTAACCTTATATGGAAACCCTTTGAAGGAACCTTCCAACCTTGTTCCAATTAGTAAGGCCCCTATGTCATTTTTTTGTGGTTTGGGTCCCGTGGGACTCGAGTTCTCGGGTTCCGGCCCAGACGCCTGTAAAGAACGCCCCTGAAGGGGAGGCCCAGCCTCAGCTACTTTAGTGCTGGTAGGAAGCACAAACATATGATTCTTATTATGGGTTTAAGGGCGCTTAAGGCTAAGTGCAGCCTAAATTACCGAAACGTAACCGGCCCCCAAAACAAAAGAACACCCACTACACCTCAAACTCAGATTGGCAATAGCGGCATGTTCATCATGGGCGAGCCGAAGCAGAGGGCGATGATGGAAGATGGCCTTGCTTTGGACCGCCTGTGTCTTTAGGGTTTAGGGTTGGGCAAGTATAGAACGTGTCATGAATTTCGGGTTGAAGTTAGAGTTGAGTGGGGCTTGTGGGGTTTGGGGGTATAGTGCCCTAAACCCTAAATGGTAGTAGCATTTAGGGTTCAGCAGCTCTGAAATTCCAAACTGGCCCTCAAGCATCTATACAGGACCCCCCCCCCTGAAAAGCCATTGAACGCAACAACATGTGCTACGAAACGCTGATGTTTCAGGAATTTCAGATTCAAAGCTGTTCTTTAGGGCTCCGTTAAATCTATAGTGCAATACACCCCGGAATTGTATTCAAAATTGTTTGGGCCCATACATTCGGCGCATGGGCCCTCAGGGATACTCGAATGATCATGGGCCTAAGTAGCTAGGGTTATGCTAGCCATACTTGTAATTTACTTATAGCCCCAGATAAGGTGTTATTAACTTATAATCGTAACGTCTTTTCACCGTACCTGCAAAGTCCCATGAACCTCCAAGTCGGGTTTAACATTTAGAAATTTGGGTCCCGGAGCCCTCCATGCGGAAACGAGGTTCTTTTTTGCCTGGGCGGGTATTGAAGATGACTAACGTCGCTGCCATAACAAGAACCCCGATTTCAGTAACTTTTGGGCGTTCCAGAAACCCGGCCCGACTGGACTTGGGGGTTGGAGGATTTCGAGTTGTGCGGGCAAAGTTCAGGGCGTTCATGCGTAGCATGGCGGCTCACAATGAAATGTTGAGATCGGACCCATGTTCTCTCCGGTAATTGTTGGGCCCAGAGAATTGTTTTATCAAGGCCCCTATAACATGAAAGTGCAAAAGGGCCAGTGCACACATTGACATGCATTGCAAAGTGTTGTGTTGTACCCAACTGGTTGCACGCATACAATGAACAGAAGTGTACGTACATGGAGTTCATCCTCTTGTCCATCCAATACGAAAACATGTGGGTAGTTGTCAAAAATATGGTCCCTTTGGGGTACCCTAAATAATAGGTGCCGTATTATAATAAGGACCCAAAAAGGGACCGTAATTTTGACAACCACCCATGTGTATGTATCTCTGACATTAGTTTTTCTTGTGGATCCTACCAGGTCCTAGCATCCAGCTCTCTTGCCAGTCCCAGACGCTTCAGGCACCACAGTGTGCCCTCGTCTACTACCTGCAAACCCTAAACCGGAAACCCGAAACCAAAAGCCTAAACCCCCAAACCCTAAACCCTAAACCCCCAAACCCTAAACCCTAAACCCCCAAACCCTAAACCCCTAAACCCCTAACCCGTGTAGGACAGCAGTTAGAGACAGTTAGAGGTGCAGGAGCGGCTCAGCGACTTGGATTTGGTCCCAGTTTTTTCCACTCGACTCCGAAAGACTGTTACGTGATGATGTCATGTATGAATCTATGCATGTTGCAGCCCGGCATGCATGTATGTATGCATGCATGCATGTATGTATACATGTATGTATCTAGTGTATCGGTCGCGGGCAATTAGCCATGTTCTAGTGCAAGCAGCTTTGCGTGCAGGAGTATTATCGCTTCTACGACGTGAATTGGTGCCGATGCTCAGTTCATCCGAACCTCCAAATACGAAGCCCCAAAACCCCAAGCCCCAAACCCTACTATAACGTGTTGTATATTATAGTTTTCTATAGAATATTGCAGTATCTCTTAGTATATGCCAGAACAAGCACATCGCGACGGACCTCAAGTAAAATATCTTCCCACCTGGACCCTGAACCCGACGACACAATCGAAGACCAGACACCGAACCGCCCTGAAACTCGCACATTTCGGGGCAGGGGTGTTTTGCATATGTGCCGTTTTGGGAGATTTGGGTGTGGAGGTTCAGGCGACATCAGCGCCTGGGCTTAGGGTGTTGGCATGAGAGTCGTGCAGTTTAGTCAAGGTTGGTGATTGGTGAGTGAGAGGTTTCCTTGTTCGAGACTTCTGCCTGCGCCGTTTTCGGCTAAGCAGACGTCCCTGTTTCAGGGTGGAGCCGTGTCTGTGTAGGTTCTCAGGTCAGAGGATTGGCCAGTTTGACGGTTTACACAGGGATGCATACGGGTGTCAGCCTTTCAAATTCCGCCACAGGCCCCATTCTTTCCCTTAGATAGCTGCTGGAATCTTGTTCTAATCAGCTACAAGTACCTTGACTGGGATTCTGGCTGATTGCAAGTATCGTTACCTTATTTGAAGACCCTTCGTACGAAATTCCATGAACTTGTAAGTCAAATCCCTGAACCCTCAACCCTAAACCATTACACTATACCATCTTCCGGGCAGCAAGGGATACACTCATTCTTCCCACGGCGTCGGGGGTTTAGGCTTCAGGGCTTATGGTCTTAGGATTTGGGGTTGAGGGTCTGGGGGTTTTCGCAATATGGGGGCATCCAAACCCTTAACAAGACTATTCTTTAAGGCTCCTCAGTAAAAGTGTGATACAACATGCTGGTTTTAAGCAGATGGCCCTAGCTGCTTATGTAAAATAAGACAGCTTTTGCACAGCCGCAGAATCTTACAAGTATCAGTAGCAATAATCCCCAAAACCGTAAACCCTAAACCCTGGACCCTAGACCCTAAACCCTAAACCCTAAACCGAATGAGAACAGGAACCGAGGGCCGGAGGTTTTTGGCTGCCCGACAGGCAGTTTCATGGGCACCGTTAAGTTCAGGACTAAGGTTTATAGGGTTTAGGGTTTAGGGATCTGACAAGGCCGTTGCAAAAGGGTTTAGGGACTAAGATCTTAGTAGTACTTGGTGGCAGAGTAGGTGTCCTTTAACTTTTTTGGGGGTACTACAACCCCAATATAATCCCAAAGCTTAACCTTTAGTTCCCCTTGGATACTAAGAAAAAACGCGGGAGAGTATGGCGGTTTCCCCGAGCCAGAGGTCGCCTTTAAGTGAAGTATAGAGCACCTGTAGCAGGGTAAGAAACCCGCTCTTCAAGACTGGTGCTAAACCCTCAGCCCTAAACCCAAAGAAGGGCCATCTTTACGTGTAATTACCCTAAACTCCAAACCCAAAACCCTAAACCCTTAAACCCTAAAAACCCTACCCTTATAGTAGCCCTTATAGAACCCTTTAAGGAGCCCTTTAAAGGAACCCCCAAAACCCTATTCTACCCTAAAAACCCGAAATCCCGAGCAGGTTCCACCCGCAGAAATTCACGACCAAAGTCCACGAGATCCCTTTGGATCGTCTCAAAGGCTGCGCAGCCGCCCGGATGAATTCCAAAACTGCTGTAAACCTCTACGGGTCCATGTGCCCAAATAGTATATACATCGGCCCCAAAGTACCTATATAGGGACTACTTTGAGGCCAAAGTATGTACTATTTGGGTTCATGGTCCCTTAGGGAACTGTTGTGCAGTTTGTAGCCGGCCGGAACTCTAAAGCCTGAACCCTAAAGCCTAAACCCTGACAGACCTACTTAGGATACAGGGATTCCGTTTCGGGGGCTGGACTTTGAGGTTGATGAGTTGACCCTAAACCATATCAACCATCTCCGTAGTTTCGATACAGGCGTTCACATAAAAACCCTAAACCCTAAACCCTAAACCCTAAACCCTAAACCCTGAACCCTGAACCCTAAACCCTAAACCCTAAACCCTAAACCCTAAACCCCAACCTGAACACAAGACCCTAAAACCCCTACCGGCTTGTCCCAGTTGTGAGTGCTGAAACGCGAGGGGCCCTTGACCCTCAGCAGAGAATCCTACCGGTTGAAGCTCCCAACTTTAACAGAGCCACGGTTTAGGGTTCAGGGTTTAGGGGGCAACTTTGATACATCTCTCGATGCAACTGACACCAAAGCCTTTGTTTCCTGAAGCCGAAACCGAAAACCTATTCAACCAACGGCACTGTCCGGACCTCTTGGGTGTATAGGGTTGAGGGGTTTAGGGTGTTTGGGGTTGAGGGCTTTCGGGTTTAGGGTTGAGGGTTGAGGGGATCTGGGTCGAGGGGTTCGGGGTTTAGGGTTGAGGGGTGTTGAGTGCAGGGCTCTGTTTTTGGGATCTGTGAGTGAGGAATTTAGCAATTTGAGTCAGGTTCAGCCCTTGCAGTACTCCCTAAACTTAAACTAAACCCTGTTTAAAGCTTTTTAACTCCATAAAGCCGTTTATCCCTCATAAACTCGTTCAACCCTGACAAAATCCTATAAACCCTTAGCCGTAAACCCAAAACCCTAAACTCGTCCTGGAGCCAGATTCGGTTTGGCAGCGCGAGGGTATTCCCAGATCTTCTGAGTACCTTCAATCACATAAGGGATACTACCTTAGGTCATGTAAGGTATATTCCGTAAACTAAGGGGCTTTGGAAGATCTGGTTTGCTTCTGCGAGTTGCTGCTATTATTCGGTGAAGCTGTAAGCCCTAGACTCCTGGACCCCCTGCCTGTGGATCCGAGACCGTACTTGTTTTCAAAGGTCACGCCCCCAAAGTCAATTGATGATGTAATTCCTGCATTACCCATCATAAGGAATATACCGTAATTCCCATAGTTTAGGGTCCTGAAAGTAATGCAGGGTTGATATCATCAACAGTAGGACCCTGCTAAAAACCTTCCACGGCTTTTCAAAGCCCGAGCCTTTTCCGGAGAGCCATTCCGAGGCCAGTGTGCAGAGCTTGTACCCCGATATCGCGGACGTCCCTCGGCCTGGCATGGGGGGACTTAGGGTTTAGGGTGCAGGGGGCGACAGCAACATGGTGATTAATATTTGGCTGTAGATAACACAGGGAAGCATCTCAGCGATCGGAAGTCCAAATTTGCAGTAGCAGCTCGACATTGTGATTGAGCGTGTGTCGCTCGGGCGCTCAAGGCTTGATTTAGCTTCTGTGGTCCTGAACTTCTGAACCCTAAGCTTAAATCCCCAAAGCCTAAACCCAAAACCCTAAACCCCCAAAGCCTAAACCCAAAACCCCTAAACCCTAAACCCTAGATTCAATGCTAGGGGAAATGCGCCTTTCCAGTTGCTTTGTGCGAACGAAGCAGCAGAGGCGGCAGTGGTTGACAGGCTCAAACAGTAAGGTACTCTAGGAGTCGGAACAGTTACCGGGCCTTGCTCTATGATCGTACATTGTAGAGTGTAACTTGCCCCCAAGTGCCTCCTCTAATTATTCCGGCCCCTAGATGACACAAAAACCCTAAAGCTTATATGACACTTCACGTCTCATTGGCCCCTCAGTTGAGTTTCTCGCTGGAGGTGTAGGCCCTGGGTGTTGGAGATCGCCTGGATGGCTTGGCTTTGGGTTTAGGGGTTTAGGGTTTAGGGGAGAGTCGTTCGCTGCGCGATCGATGTGTCAGCGAGTAATGTACATTGGTGGGTCTTGAAGCCTTTTTAAACTGATGCTTTTCGAAACGAGCCTTTTTAGGGCTCAGGGTTCGGATTCGGGTTTTCCTGACATCCTCCGGGCCAGATCTATCTCGCGGCGACGGGAGACGAGGATGGCGTGGAGGAAGTGAATGGCACCAAGGTGACTACCGGAAACCAAAGTTTCAGGGCTTAGGTTTGGATTCTTGGGACGTCAATGGTGTATCGTATTGCTTCCCTATATAGCGGCCCAGGCACTTGATAATCATATACTCCATCCGGTATTAACCTATACAACAAAACGACTCTACTAACCCAAGTACCTGATCTTTAGGTCCTTGAGGTCTTTCCTCAAGACTCAATGACTCAATGAACGTAAACTTACAGCATATGACGTGTCCAACTGCACATGTTTCTGAATCGCTCTGTTTCAACTCCGAAAGAGATATCAGATTTGGGCTTGCCACGACAACCACTGCTGCTGCTGCTGTGCTAATTACGAGGAAAGAATGTTAGCTGTAAGTTTTTATTATTATTACTACTACTACTACTACTACTACTACTACTCGTACTACTACTACTACTACTACTACTACTACTACTACTACTACTACTATATACTACTACTACTACGACTACTA